GGAGCCGCGGCACGACACGCACGCGCACACAAAATGGGGAATCCGTTATACAAGCAGCCAGCCTCGATCGCAATATCGTTTCACCCACCACTCACACTTGAGCCGAGGGAGTAAGACGACCAACAAAGCAAAAAAAAAAAAGAAGGCAAAAACAACAGCTGAAAGGGATTTTTTTTTCCCTTCGTTCTAAAGTAGTGAGGGAACAGTAGAACATTATTCCTTTATCACGTCAGTACTGTCACTTGCTCGGATATATATATATATTTTTTTTTGTTTTCTTTGCATCTTTCTTTTCCTCCGCCCCTTTGATTTTGTTGCTGCTTGCGTCAATTGTGTGTTTGCCTGCCGCAACTGCTCAGCATTCCGCAGCGATGCGGCTCAGCTGCACACAGAGATCGACGCTCATATACAAATGCATATACAAGAGAGAGACGTGTAGTCTGAGATTGTTCATCTGTGCAAGCACACTTCATCCGCTCGTACAAGCCTTCCCTCAAGCACCAGCCCCAGCCCAGGCAGCAGTAGTAAACCACCATATCCTTCAGCGCTTCCCGAGCACCAGTCGACTGATGACGAGTCGCTGAATCTGGCTCGTCCCCTCGTAGATGGAGAATATCTTTGCGTCACGGTATAACTTCTCCACCGGGTAGCCGGTGTTGAACCCATTGCCGCCGAATATCTGCACCGCATTCGTCACGCACCGCTCACACGTCTCTGCGGCGAGAAGCTTCGCCGACGACGCGTAGAATGTATTCGGCCGCCCTTGGTCCACCTCCCACCCGGCGCGGTACGCCAGCAGGCGCGCCGCCTCGATCGCCGCGGCCATATCAGCGAGCATAAACGCAATCGCCTGGTGGTCAGCGATGCACTTCCCCATCGTCTTGCGCTGCTTGGCGTAGTCGCGCGCCTCCTCCAACGCACGCCGCGCCACACCAACGGCGCCGATGGCCACCGGTGGCCGCGTAAAGTCGAAGGCACGCATTGCGATCTTGAAGCCCTCACCAGGGCGCCCAATGACGTTCGCGTCGGGAATAACGACGTCCTCGAAGAGAATGCCGCGCGTGTCACTGCAGCGCTGGCCCATGTTGATCTCCTTCTTCCCAGGCGTGATGCCGGGCGTGTCGGCATCCACGACAAAGCCGACGGGGCCATCGGCGGAGTTGGCGAGCAGGAAGTACCAGTTGGCGACGCCGCCGTTGGTGATCCACATCTTCTGCCCGCGCACCACCCACTCGTCGCCGCGACGCGTTGCAGACGTCGCCACCGCCGCAACGTCGGAGCCGGCGCCAGGCTCTGTGACGCAGTACGCGCACTTGAGCGGCTCCTCCGTCATGCGGCCAAGGTACTTGCGCTTCTGAGCATCGTTGCCAGCGATGATGAGCGGGGCCTGTGCGAGGCTGTTCGCCTCGAAGGCCGTGCTCATACCGGAGCAGGCCCACGACAGCTCCTCGTGTACCAGCAGCCCGTCCACACAGCCGGCGCCGACGCCGCCGTACTCCTGCGGGATGTGCATGTTGATGAGCCCCAGCTCCCACGCCGCCTTGAACACCTCGTGTGGGTACTCCATCGTCTGGTCGTACTTGGCAGCGAGTGGCAGCATCTTTTCCGCGGCGAAGCGGTGCGCCACCTCCTGCACCTCCAGCTGCTGCGGCGTCAGCTCGAAGGAGATGCCGCCCGCTGTGGGCGCCGACGCCGATGAGAGGCACAACACGCTGCGTCGCACGAAGGCCCTCGAGGTACGCCGAATCATGTCTCCTGACTGTGTAGTTTGTGTTTTGCCTCGCTTGTTGTTTCTCTCTCTCTCTCTCTCTCTCTCTCTCTGACACACGCTCGGTGGTGCTGTGATCCTTTTCTTGTCTGGCTGCGGCAGGAGGCGCAACTTGTTTCTTCGTCAGTGAGAAAAAAGGCGCCGCGGAAGGGGGGCAAGGGACGGCGCGGCATCACCGATGAAGAGAAGGTGGGCACATTTAGAGCCGGCGTCTCTCCCATCATCATCAGCAGCAGCGGCAGCATTGGTGTGTTTGCCTGCGCTCAAGCATGCTTGAGCGCAGGCAAGCATAACAACAATAATAATAAAAGAATTAAGCTGAGGAGGGCTGCGCACACGCGCACGTCTCCACCCGAAGATGCACAGGCACACAGACACAGATACAGACACAAAGGAGAACGAATCACGCTATTAACAGCGGCAGCACAAGCACGCAAGCAAGCAACCAAACATACAAACAATAACCAAAAAAACGTGCAGCATGCCTCACCACGGCGAGAGTGCCTCTTCCTTTGCACCTCCTTCCCCAATCAGAGGTGTGAGCGTGCACGAATAGAGTCGTCTGTTTTTTTTTTTCCTTTTGCTCCTGCTATCCCGCTCAGAGAGCGGTGAAGCACTCGTCGCCGACAACCCAGAGCTGAATCGCCCGCACCGACGCAAACGGCTCTCCCCCCTCCATCTTCACGCCGCTGGGCAACTCGTCACCATCACGCATGTTGAGCAGCAGGAGAGACTCGTGGAGGCCAAAGGTAGGACATGCCGTGCTGCACGACACAGTGACGAAGTCGGAGTGGAGCACCACCGCTGGACCCTTGCCGCCGCCACCAAGAGAAATATTGCCATCCTCGCAGCGCATGAAATAACGGTTGGGAGCATTTGATGGCGGCTTGAAGAAACGAATGAAACTTTCAGGCGCACTAGTCGCTGCTGGTTCCCTTGTTTCAGCTGTTGCGGATGCCTCTGCAGCACCTGATGTGACCGCCGGTGGCACAGCAAAGAGGAAGCTCTCCTCGCTGCCAATGTACTTGCGGTTCGACGCCTGTGGAATGACGGAGATGTACGCGCCCAGCAGCAGCTGCCCGTCATTACCCGCCTTAATGATCAGCACCGCGTGCCGCTCCCGCCCACAAGCGCTCTTGACCTCCTCGGCGCAGTTGTGCTGAAACGCGAGGCGCGAGAATCCATGGTACTCACTGCCGAACACGAGCCGCCAGCGCCGGCCTTGGAAGCGGTGAGGCAGTTGCTCCTGCAGCGCAACGAACTGCGCACGTGTGAGTAGAAGGCTTGGCTTCGTGGCGGTGTCGCGCCGCAGGTACACGTCTGGCGGCAGCGACTCCACCGCCTCGCTGAGATCGAAAGCGGGTGGCGCCGTATGAAGCGGCTCATTGTCTCCAATGTTCTTTCTGCGAGAAAACAGCTCGAATGGGGCGAAAATCATCGCAAGAATGCCCATTCGCCGTGTGCGCCCCTCTAATCCCTCACGCCGTGATATTCCCTTGCCTCGCTGCGGTGTCTCGCCGCGTTCAGTCTGCCCCAACAAGCCCGACCACAGTTGTAGGGCTCGTGTAAAGGCACCACTGAGAAACGCCGTTGTCGTTGCCGCTTTCCGCTGATGGCGGTGTTGATGATCTTCCTAGTATTGGTGGCAGCGATGATGAATCGGGCCGGCGTCGCTTTTTTTTTTCTTTGGGGGTTTTGTTTTGGGGGTTCTGTTCTTGTTTCGTCTAGTATCACTCAGCAATCTAAACCTTCCGTGAACTTCCAACCGTCTCTCTCCCTCTCTCTCTTCTTCGCTATTCCCTCCTCCCTCTGTGGTCTGGGCGTGTGTGCGCAGAACGGAAAGAAGAGAGAAGGCAACTAGTAGCAGGCAGAAGCGTGGCCCGAGACAAGGAGTGCGCCTGGTGAGAAACACGGCGGTGGACCATCCATCCCTACGTGCACGCAAACAAGAAAGGAAGCGAAGGCATGCGTGAAAGGCCTGCGCAAGCTCTTTCTTTGCGGCAAACGTTTTCTGGCCTCGTTAGTACGGCCGGTATTTTGTTGGGCGCAACACAATGCGAGATGCAGCGAGAAGGCGCGGAATGCGGCGCTTTATTTTTAAACGATCATAACAACAGCGCGCATAACAACAGAAAAAAAAA